CTACTGCAGCCGAAAGCATGCTCCTGTTTTTGAGCTGACTTGAAATGGGAAGGAAGGCGTTAAGGGGTGAGCTTAAGGGTCTCATCCAATTTAAAAAGCTTGTTTTAGCATGACAAGTTGTAAAAATGTCAAAGTGGATACAGAGTCATTGTCTTCCGAGGGACCCGACACAGGTCGCAGCCTGCAAGGACTTGACTGCATCTGCTGTTTGTAGGTTCATCCCCACGTGAATATTAAGTCACCTTTTTTGGTTGGCGTTGGGGAGGCAGCATGGTTCTGAGACCGTGCTCTTGCATTTGAGACAGTGGAGAAAAGCTTCGGGATCGGTTCCAGTTTCTTCAGAGTAATTCTTCACGAGAAGCTGGGTGGGTGGGTAAGTACTTGAAGCCGTTTGTGCCTTTGCCGTATCTGCCGATTAAACAGAACGGTGCTTGTGAAGTTGGGCAGGAGTGCAGGCTCCGGCTCCACTCCGGCTCCTCTCCAGCTAATCCCTGCAGCCGTGGAACGCGGGTGCTCGTGCTGGCGTTCGCTTTGTCTGAGCTCCACCAAGGGCAAGCTGAAGTGTAACAAATGCTCTAATTAGCTTGCTCCAATTGCGCTGCGCTAAGCTCAGCCTTAACACCTAGCTGCAGTTAATTAAAACTCGGGGTTGCTGAGGTTTTATTAGTACCGTGTGTTTGCCACTGGATGAAACGATGGGAGAAAGGTGGATGACGTGTAGTAAATTGCCAGGGGTAGGCCATTACCTGAACGCAGCAAGCAGCCCCGTTTGGAGATCGCTTTCCTTCCCAGGTGAGCCAGGGGAGAACCAAACCAGTGAACAAAAGAGGTTTTATCATTACCAGGCTGCTGAGCCAGCCCGTCCCCTCAATTTCTTAAAGCTTTTAAGAAGAAAAATCTCTGAGCAGATATGTGCCCATGATTCATTTGGCAAAAGCGCTCAGCCAACTTCCCAGAGGGGAACTAAAATAATTTCCGCATACAAGTAAAGCAAATAGCCTGTGTCTTGTTCATCCTACCAAGTATTATTGACTAGTGCTGAGTAAGAGATCTTTGCAGAGCCTTGATGAAAAGGTTGGCAACTCATTCCTCTTGGTCTGGATTACCGCAGCGTGGTTGTGCGATACTGAATTGCAAGGCTTTTGGTGATCTTCACAGGCTGTTCAACCTCAGCCACTAAGTCTAAACTAAAATGTTTAAAAACTGCAGTTCACGCTCTTAAATACTTGCATAGATGTACTCCGGAAGAACCGGAGACAATGTCGATGTGTGTTAGCTGCTTTCTGTTAATCTGTAGAACAGGTACCACCTCCTAAGATCCAGCTGAAATGTTCCACTGCGGCGGTATTTGAGACTAGTTATATTTGGCTCTTCTTTGTTCCATCTCCAGTTTTACAGCTACCCGATGACACCCTAATGAAGCATCAAAGAAACCACGCGCAGTTGCGCTTAAGCGCTCCCCGAAAGATGTGTCCAGTGAGGTACAGAGCTCCCGCTCTGGATACGAAGGAATTTTGACCATCGGGCAAAAGTGGCTTTCATCTTTTAGACGTCTCAGCAGCAGGGCAGTACAAATCCTAACTTTCATTTAAAACAAAACAAAAGCTGTATATCAGTGTTTTTTTCAAGATACTTTCCTACACTATCTTGAGCCCTTTTGTTCTTTACTTATTATTAAGTTTGGGAAAATAGATGAAGAAGAAACAGTCTTGCTGAATAAACTCTGAAATCCCTTCTAAGAATTTTTTCTGAAATAAGAGTGGAAGTGCTTTGGAATCTACTGAGCATTTAAGTATTAGCAATACACCTTTGGATTTGCAAGGGAAGCTAGTGGGGTGGAATGAACACATTTTCATCCGTGGGTGGGATGAAACCTGAAGTCACCGTTCATGCAGTGGTGTTTCTTGGTCAGCTGGGACAAAATTAATCCAATCTGGATGCTGAATCTAGATCTATAAATATATTTATTATAATATAACAAGAACTTAACAGTAAACATAAACTATATACAATACCATTACAGATAACCCTGTTTTTTTAATATTATTCACAGAAATAGCCAGTTTTGTTCCAGTGTGAGAAATGAAGAAATAAGCTAAACTGGAAATGTTGAATGTGTTTAGGTCTCGTTGACAGGTAGCACCTCCTTTGGAGGTAGACACACACCAACACTAAAATTAGTCCTGCCCCAGGCAGTTAGAAACTTGTGCTCCAATCTTTAGGTTCACACTTGCACCCTGTTTGACATAAATACTTTAAATGACATACTAGTATATAATTTTGTTGTGCTTATTATTATTTTTTTCTTTAAAGAATAAATAAAATAACTGCATAACAAAGGCTGGAACCTCACTGTCAAAATGAGAGACTTGAGTCACCCTATAGCTTGACTCAGCTGACTTGAGCACTTTTTCTTTAAATACTGCAAGATACAAATTTCATTTTTTTTCTTGTATTTTATAAACAGTTATTAATAAAATAAGATGATTAGCTAACCATCTGCATTGATTTCCCCAAAGCTGTAGGCAGACCTCCCTCAGTATAAAAAGGCTAGTGTATTTGGTATGAAATTCAACTAGATATTGACTGTAAGATCTCACCCACGCCCCATATAGGACCCTCCTTCTTGAATTACCGGCATGGCATTTGGGATTTGAGTCTGCAAAGGCAAGTATGGCAACTTTTTTCCCTCTACTTGGAAAGAAATCAGACAATCCTTAGCTTGGGGTTACTTCTTATATGTGAATTTTAAGATTCTTTCCCCGCCCCCTCTATGTTACCCGGTCCATCTCCCATTTGATCCTTTTATGTATAAATTTATAAAGAATTTCCACATCACAATGCTCTCTGGATAGACAATATTTTAATATATATAAAAATATAA